GCCCCTAGAGGACAGAGTGGAACTGCCCACAGGGTTTCCAAGGCTGTCAGTCTTCACAGAAGCAAAGCCCATACCACGCCCACTGCCGTGGAGTCCATTCTGACCCACAGCGCCCCTAGAGGACAGAGTGGAACTGCACCACAAGGTTTCCAAGGCTGTCATTCTTTACAGAAGCCAACTGCCTCATCTTTCTCCCCTGCTAGTGGGTTCAAACTAGAAACCTTTTGGTTAGCAGCCCAGTGCTTTAACCACAGTGCCACCAGAGCTTCTTCTGTGTCAATAGAGGTTAGTGTATTCTTCATGTTCACTTTCTATTAAAATTTTTGTATTATTTACTTTCTATTTTTACCAATGGACATGATAGGACAATGACCAAGGTTACACAAGGCTTGTTATAAAAAATAACATGTCCCTGCCCATGATTTTGGGAGCTCTGGTAGCGCAGTGTCTAAGACACTTGACTGCTAACCAGAAGGCTGGCGGTTCAAACCCAGCAGCCACTCCTCGGCAGGAAGATTGGGTGCTCTACTTCTGTAGTGATACCACCTCAGAAATCCAAGGAGGGGTCACTATGCATCAGATCTGACTCAACAGCAGTGAGTTTTGTTTTCTGGTTTGGTCCATGATCTTAGTCCCCATGCCATTCTTCCTGAGAAAAACACTTTCAGTACCTCGATAGCATGTGCGTGAGCATGTGTGCCCATCCTTTGGCTAGCAGGTGAGCACTTAAGCCCTGCACCACCAGGGCACTTACGTGTGCACACACCAAGTATCAATTTCATCTCATGGAGAGAGGCCTCCTGCTCCTACTGCTGCCTCCTTTGGTTTTTTTCCAAGCTTGCGCCCTCACTGGTGCCCGGGACTATCCCTTCACCACTGCTGGGTAAATTCCTTTGTGTTGCTACACTCTGGGATGTCTTATTTAAGTTCAGTCTCTCAAATGTCACAGATTAATAGTTTTTAAGACATAAAACAAAAACAAAAAACAAACCCACTGCGGCCAATTTGATTCCAACTCATAATGACTACACATATTCCAGAGTAAGACTGCTCCGTACAGTTTTCTCGGATCAGATGTTGCAACTGGTTTGTGCTCGGCTGTTAACTTAATGGTTGTTGGGTCAAACCCACCTAGCAATACCATGGAAGACAGGCCTGATAATTTGCTCCCATAAGAATTACAACCCAAGAAACCCTGTGGAGGAGTTCCACTCTGTAACACACAGGGCTGCCATTAGTCAGAATCAATTTGATGGCAACTGTGATGCATAACGTGATGTGTCACCTTGGCTCGGTCGTGATTCTCAGTGGTTAGGCAGACACTGGACTGAGGGCTCTTCCATAATGTGCTATAATGTAATCCCCTTCCATGATGTGACCTGATGTGAGCAGCCAATCAGGTGAAAGGGGAATTCTCCTGGGGGTGTGGCCTGCCTCTAGTATATAAATGGATGGTCTGGCAAAGCCCACTCTCTCTCTCGATCCTGCACTCTTCTTGTCCTCTGACCTCCAGCTCCTGGGATGTAACCCTGCAGAAATCTCCAGTGTGCTGCCTCACCTGCAGATTTTGGGTTCTTTAGCCCCCCTCAAAATTCTGTCAGCCAGCAGAGGCCTCCAGTCTGCTACCTAACCTGCAGAT